TCTTCTTGCGACACCGTTGTTTCCTCCTCCTTTTCTCTCCTTCCTCTCGCTCTCTCTTTTCTCCATAATTTCAGCTGCTTCCTTATTCCCCTTACCTCCACCACCAGCTCCTTCAACCACTTTTCCATGTCCTCCATCTATTTTTCTTTCCTCCCGTTTTCTTTTCCCAGCCTGCTTACTTCTCTCCCTTTCTTTCTTCCCTCTCACTCTTCCTTCCACCTTTATCTCCTTCCTTCTCTTTCCTTCCTGCCCTCTTCCGTTCTTCTCACTCGCTTTCTTATCTTCTATTTCGCCTCTCTCTATTTTTGCTTCCTTCTCCTCCTCACCTCTTTTCTCACAACGCACTTTATCCTTTCCTATTTTTCTATCCGCTACCTTTCACCTAACCTCGCTTTCCTCTTCCACCATCTACTTCCTTCTGCCCTTTTTCCTGTCGCACTCCCCTTTTCTTCTTTTCCCTTCCTCTGTTGTCCTTCTGCCTTCTGCCAGTCCCTTTTCACCTTTTTTGTTTCTGTCACACCTTTAGCCTTCCTTCTTTTCACTTGCTATGTATTCCATTCCTACTGCCCGTTTCGGTATCGATATCCACTAACTCCCTATGTGCTCGATCCTAGTTCCTTACCTACATTCGGCTCCACCTCTCGGATTTTCTCATTCAACTCTCCTCGTTCCTTTGTGCCCTATCTTATCTAACTCTCCTCTTTCTTATCAACCTCTCGTCCTTCCTCTTCCTCTCAGCCTTTCTCCTTCTATCCATCTTCTCTCTCTCTTTTTCTTCCTTCTAACCTTCAAACTGCCAAACGCCTTTGTATCCTTCTTTCTTCTATAATCATCCTTTCACTTTGATCCCTTCACTCACATCTGCTCCTCCCTTTTTGCTCTTCCTACTCCTTTCCTCCGCTCCGATTCCTTCCTCTCTACACCAACTACCCGCGTCTTTCCCTTCGAGCACATGCCCCAACTATCTCTTCCCCAACCGCCATTTTTCCACTCCAACATGTTGTATGTAATGCATAGAAATTAAAGACTATTGCGGTAGAGAAAACTTTGATGAAAAAATCAACAGTGCATTTTGTAGTTATAAGTGCTAGAAGCTTTAACCAATCGATTAATTGAAAATGGTGCATTAAGAAAACATCATTTTACATTTTACTAAGAGATTAAAACAATTATCTGTTTTGTGATAAATAATAAATATTAATAACGTATTGAAATTTTAATATTTATCTATTGCAATTGAAATGTATTCTATTATCAATAATTAAATATAAAATTTGATCACAATTAAAAATTTTGATAAAAGTAAGCGTTTACTAAATTAGTAATGAGATGTGCGTATTCTATATTAACACGATTGAAAATATGGAGACGTACCTGGAATATAACAAAATTTATCAAAATACCAAAAAATAAGATTATCTGAAATTGGACATTCTTATATACGGACGCTCCTGAGACAAAGCGTAGTGCTCCTTAGTTACGCATATCTGGCGACTCGTTGCTAACGTACGAGCGGTGAGTGGGGGGCAATGGGCGTGAACCACGGAATCGGGCCGAAATGTGCAAGTAAATCCCAGCACTGATATAAGGTATAGTTGACATATTTGTTTAAATATGCAAATGCTAATTCCGAATACATTTAAAGCCAACTGTATATTATAAAATATCATTCGCTGTATGCGTGTGTGTGTATGTGTGTATGCTTTCTCAAGCATATATGATATATTATATATGTATATACTTAAAATAATATACTTAATTTAATAATTAAATATTAAATAGATGTCTATTTTCGGAAATGAAATGATTGTGAATTCTTGATTTTATTATTTCATAAGCAGTGCAACAATCAGAAAAGGAAATGGATATCATTATAGTGATGTATTAACTCGTTTTCCAACACTTGTCGATATTAAATATTTTATTCTGTGGTGCAGAGAATCTAATTAATAATCATTTCATTTCTTTACAATAATTGTTTTCATAAATTTACTTTTCATAAAAGATATGACGAATTTAAATTTTAACATTTTTTCTTATGCATACAGAATAGTCAAAGATCAATAAAATAGATTTTTTTTTTAATTTTCTTTAAATCGAGAAGCGCTTTATATCACTTCAATATTTTATATTTCATTGATATAAAATATTGAAGAAAAACTTTTAATTATAGAAGAGTATTGTCTTATTATTATATTTGGACATTCTTGTATACGGACGCTCCTGAGACAAAGCGTAGTGCTCCTTAGTTACGCATATCTGGCGACTCGTTGCTAACGTACGAGCGGTGAGTGGGGGGCAATGGGCGTGAACCACGGAATCGGGCCGAAATGTGCAAGTAAATCCCAGCACTGATATAAGGTATAGTTGACATATTTGTTTAAATATGCAAATGCTAATTCCGAATACATTTAAAGCCAACTGTATATTATAAAATATCATTCGCTGTATGTGTGTGTGTGTATGTGTGTATGCTTTCTCAAGCATATATGATATATTATATATGTATATACTTAAAATAATATACTTAATTTAATAATTAAATATTAAATAGATGTCTATTTTCGGAAATGAAATGATTGTGAATTCTTGATTTTATTATTTCATAAGCAGTGCAACAATCAGAAAAGGAAATGGATATCATTATAGTGATGTATTAACTCGTTTTCCAACACTTGTCGATATTAAATATTTTATTCTGTGGTGCAGAGAATCTAATTAATAATCATTTCATTTCTTTACAATAATTGTTTTCATAAATTTACTTTTCATAAAAGATATGACGAATTTAAATTTTAACATTTTTTCTTATGCATACAGAATAGTCAAAGATCAATAAAATAGATTTTTTTTTTAATTTTCTTTAAATCGAGAAGCGCTTTATATCACACGACACATATCTTTAACTGATTGTTGTAATTGTGGCAAAAATTTTCTATAAATGCGTGAAATTTTATTTTAAGTCTGTTGCACGCTTTCCATTTTGAAATGACGTTAAAATTGTATTAGCTTGGAGTAAAAACAAAATTTTTTTTAGAACTTTTGAAATGGATTCTGTGAATTTAAAATGCCATTTAAAAATGTTTAATTTTTATTTTCTTATTTTTTCTGAAAAATATTATGACTCTTGTATAATCAAAAAAATTGAAGCTCCTTGATTCCATAAAAAAATACCATATTTTTGTTTAAATAGGAAAAAATGCAAAGAAATATTAGTTACTTTGTGGGCACACTGAATAATTTTTACAAAATTGGTTAACTTGATACATTAAAGAAAAATTAAACGAAAGATTTGTTTGTAGTTATATTTGTATAATTATTCCTAAAGTTATTTTTTTCATCTTGTAATTTTAAACATTCCACATGCAGATATGATATATCCTACAAACATCGTTCCCGTCCCGGTAAACGTAGTCATCCCAATACAAATAACTGCGTTTTTATGCACTAAAACTAAATAAAAATATTTTTCTTGATCGACAAAATACTCATTGTCAGTCACGATTTGCACTATCTGCCGTAGCTGAGACTCGTTTATATGCAAATCAGTATCAAAAATTTGTGGCCAAATTGACAGTAAAATAGTAATAAATGCACCGCACATAACTAGAGTCATAGATTACCAGAGAGGCGCCAACTCTACCCCCACCATGCCCACCGCCGCTATCGTAGGATACAAACGTCAGTAGTGCTTATATATACAGGGTGTCCCATAATTCGCGGATCAACCGCTATGTGCAGGTAGAGCACATGAAACCGAGAAGAAAAGTCCTTTACCATTTTGCGATTTTCGTAATAATTATTAAGAAATTAATTTAAAAAGATGAGCCAATCACAAGCGCGCGGCGAGAAGAGACTTCCTACTCAGGCGTGGCTAGGTGCGAGGCGAAGCGGAGGGAGGGGCGCTGTATACGGCTACGTACGAGCGAACGCTGAAGCCACGCATCTCGAACTATTCTCTCTCTCTCTCACTCTCTCTTTCTCTTTCTCGCGCGCGCGGCATAGGAAGCAGAGTTGGGCAAAAATCTAATTAACAATTACAAATTTCAATTACAATGTAATTATTAATTGCATTAAGCGCGCGGCGAGAAGAGACTTCCTACTTAGGCGTTGCTAGGTGCGCGGCGAAGCGATAGGAGGGGCGCTGTATACAGCTACGTACGAGCGAACGCTGAAGCCA